TATTTTACAGCATTCAGAAATGATGGATGTGCTCACATCCTTCCCCAACATTATCGCTGATCTTTAACTACCACGTAACCAGGCAGCAACAGGTGCTTTGTTCTTTTGTTTTAGCACAATGGATTCAGAAGTCCCTGTTGGGCAAGACCTGAGTGGGGCTGGGGGGCAGAATGGCTCTCCTGCAGCCATGGCTGGAAGCAACAAAATCTGAAGAGAGCATGGATGCTCTGGTATCCAATATCCAGTGCCAGTAACGTCACAGCCCCCTCACTCTGGAGCAGCTCATGTATTACAGGACAGACCTCCTAAGGGAGATGTTCACATGAGCTCAGAACCCACATTTGTGCCAGATTTTTGAAAGAACCTGGATCCTGTTTAGATAGCAAAATAAATGGCCCTGAGACACTGAGAGTGTTAAATATGAGAAAGGGTATTGAACAGTTTTTGAGACAGGGTAAGAATTTAAGCTGACATGCTTAAACAATCTGTCTCCTAACAAAAGGAAATAATGTTGAGAGTTTTAAAAGGCATCTAAGTGATGCCATCATACAAGACATCTGTGACTGCCAGGTACCCAGTGATCACTAGACTGAAAGGTATGAGAAGTGCAGAGATGGCTTGAACTCCCTTAAACATGCTGACCTGAACAGCTGTACAAACCTTTTCCACTGTGTGCTGGAAGCTCTGGGGCCTGTGGATGGATGGAATAACATTGAAAAATCTGTGATTGCTATTGATAATTACCTGATCTTTATTATCTGTCCTATTCATGCAGCAAATGTGTTCTAAAAGAGAAGGGGCTGTCAAAATGCTCAACATGAAACTCAGCATGTGGGCAAGTTCCTGTGTTGCATAAGGCTTTATTCTTCCCTGGAAACTATGGAAGGAGGCTCCAGTACTTTGTCTTTTAGGAACAATGTTTAGTTAAGCTTCTGGAATAGTTGCCAAGATGATTATGGGTGAAGAAATCCCATAAAAATGTTGAAGATCATCAAACTCTGTGAACTCTGAGTTGTAGAGTAGTGGGCATTCACTGACTGCATCCTGTAAGCCAGGAAAAACAAAGTTTAAGTGGGGTAGGTTCAAAAGGGGAAAAAAGGATGATTCTGGAGTGCACACAACTGGTTCTGCTTTATTGTTATAGAAATATATGTAAAAATAATATTTTTATAAAATAACTGAGGGGGAGAGTTAATTGAAAACTGAATTTTTAGGGAGCATTTACTGTATCTGGTCTTCTTACCATTATAAGTTCTCCAGCAGTACAGTTCTGCCCAGACAGCTGCCATTAGGAGAGATGCTTGGAAGTTGGGACAGCCGCAGGAGATACCCTGGAGAGTGGATTGCAGTGTTCTGGGAAATCACCCTGTTCACTTCAATAGATACAGAGAATCAAAAGCATCTCTGACAGCCACAGCTGCTGTTTTTGGTCACAGGACCTTTTATAAAAGGGTAATTATATTCAGATAGCTACTCTCATAAAAATTGTAAATGCTGCGTGTAAATGGGATCCCAAGAAACGAGTTACTTCACCTTCCTGTCCTGGAAGAGCTCTAATGGTGGAGATGCCATGGTCTCTCTTGGAAGTCTGATTGCTTCACAGGGCTTCACTCTCTACATAATGTCCAACCTTAGCACCTCAGGAGTCTGAAACCATGATTACTTGTCTTACCCAGAACATTCATGAAGAATAGATTGTTTCTTTACTTCATTCATAAGGCTGTGAAAAATTTTGCCATTTAAAAACCATAGAATCATACAATATTTTAGGTCAGAAGGGACTCCATGGAATTACCTAATCCAACCTCCTGCTCAAAGCAGGGCTAACTTCCAAGGTAGCACAAGACTTTGTCCAGTTGAGTTTTGAGTGTTTCCAGGGACAAAGATACCACAGTGTCTCCAGCCTCCTTAATCAGCCTCACATGACCCTGGATTGGCTCACCCTTTTTGTAACAGGATGGTATTCTTGGTTTGTGATAATCTTGGTGACCTCCAGCAATTTCCAGGCCTTTTTCTGTAGGATGTCTGTATTTCAAATTGAATGGACTAATTCCCTGTCCTGTGTTTAAGTAGCTGATTATCTCAAGTGCTGCATTTTGTATTTGATCACATTGAACACCATACCATTTATTTCTGATCATATTTCCAGACTATTTTGAATTACAAACCTTTAGCACACTAGCAGCCTTTCCTGGCATGATGTTGTCAGTACATTCCATGGTAAACTCTCTTCTGAAAACATAACACTCTCCTTTGGTGGTGGACAGAGGTTCATTTATTTGCACCTCTCCCACAGCAATGACAGAAGTGTAGACAAAGCATCAATCTGCATTGGTCTTTGCTAATAACTGGACTTTGTAAAGATTAAAAAGGAATTGATTCAAAATCTATTTAAGGGTGATTCCAGTGTGTGTGTGATCAAACATGAGACAAGTTAGCAGCAGAGACCATTGATCTGGGGGCTTTAGAGAGAGAAAGAATGTTTAATTTGATTTACTTGGAATTATTTAGTTTTTTAAGTCATGGTTTGAAAGCTGGCTCTTGGTGGGAACTCTGTGCACACAATGAGCATGTTTGGCCTTGAGCTCATGTATCTGGTTTTAGTTAAGCCAGGCTGGCCACACTCATTCCACGCTGCTCATGATCTCATTCCATGCTCCTTGTCATGATATCTGCACACCATCCAGCAATATATTAAAGCATGAGTAACATGTCTTATGTTGATTATTCTGTCACCAAGGGAGAAATGTGTCTTGTCTGGTAGGGAGCTCAGATTGTTTTAAACAAAGCTCTATACTGAGGCTGGACAAAAGTCAAGAGCTGCGCCTTGTATTAGGAGGAAGAATTGGCAAGGTGTCTGCTGGCCCTTTGGTAAGGCCATTTTGGGACTCAGACCAGCTACAACCAGAGAAAACCATGGTTCCTACACTGCTGAGCTCTCCCTGCACTGTGGAAAGGCCATTTGCCCTGCTGCCAACTTGCTTCATCAGCTCGTATGCTGTGATACGTGGGGCACCTCCAAATTCTCCTATTAGTCCAGGGAGAGACACACTCCTAACAGCCTTTATTTCCTTTAATGAAATGACCAGGTTGGTGTTAGAAATGCAATGTACTGTGTGTCAGCTGAGTGGAAAAAATGCCTCCAGGCTGTAGGGAGGAGAGGGAAGGCTTGAAAAACTTGTTCAGCTGCTCAGTGTTCATATTTGTGTGTGCAGTGAACGAGCTGAACCCTGTGCCCCTGCTGGGCCTGTGTTCAGTGTGTGTTACCACAGGGCAAGTTTTCTGCTTTGGTCATCTGACAGACTGGAGGGGAAGGGCTCTTGCTAGTAGCTGTCATTAGAGGCTGCATCATTCTCTTTGCTTATTTACTGAGCTGAACTCTGGCCTCAGCTCCCATCTGTGTCATGAAGGAGATACCTCTTTACAGTATCTCAAGTGTGAAAGTTTTAAAGCCCTTTATAGAGTCTAATTTAACTTCAGCTTGTGCCTGGAAGCAAAGTGCTCATTTTTTTGGAGAGGGGTGAAACTGAGGAACTGATGGCTTAGGCTAATTGCTTCTCCTCTCATACACAGTCCTCAAAACAGATTTTGACTCAAACATGACCTCTTCCCAGTTCCTGTGTTCCACTTTCACTGCTCAGTCTTGTTCTGCTAAAAAGAGCAGGAGAATCTGTGCTTTTGCTGTTTTTTTACAATCCACAGCTGGCACTTGAAGTCCCTGTCTCCCAGGTTTGGTCAGTAGCCTCCCTGCAAATAGGAACTGAAGGACCTTTCTGGCACATGGGGTTTTCCTGACCTCCCAGTGCTGCTTTTTCTCTGGAGAATAACCTCCAACTCATGGAGGACACTGTGGATCCAAACCCCCCGTGCCTCTGGCTCCTTATATGGTAACGTGAAGAAGTCTGAGCATTTTAGTTCTGATTTCGAGTAACCCTGGTTGTCTTCTCAGCTGGGGAACTAGAAACTTTAAAACCTTGGGCAAGCTGGTTCTTACCATCAGGAAACCATCCCTTAGCTCAAGCACGTTTGCTGCTGTCTCACCACTGAGACAGCAGTGACCAGGCTGCGTTGGCAGCAATGAAAGTCCCCTACAAAACCTTTGCAGAAGGTAGAGTTTTAAGCATTCCAGTTTTTTTCCTTCTGGAAGGGAAAAGATATGTGTTGTTACAACAGCAGAAGAAAGAGGCTGAGATGGAAGGAGGATGCCAGACAGGCTGTAGGACAGAGGTGGCTTCTCATATAGAACACACTAATACTGATGGTGGCAGTGAGAGCGGGAAGTAATGGAGCTGGGGACATCTGGAAGAAACTTGAAGAAGCTTTGCACGCTTGAGCAGTCACATCCAGACATGCAAGGGAAGAAAACATTCCTGAATGAGGGAGAGGTGTCCTTGTTCATCCTAGACACACATGCATTTTGGCGACTTATCCCTACCTCTGACAGAAGCCACCCAAAAAAGAGGCAGAGCAGTGAGCATAGCTAAGGTTTCCTGATTGCCAGACCCTCGTCTTTGTTTCTGGAAAGTACTTGAGTGACTTTGCATGAATTTATTGAAGCATGGAGTTGTGCAGTTTTGCACTATTGACAAAGTGATATGTTCTTGTGCTGGAGTCCAGCCCACCCTACCACAGAGGCTGTGTCCTCTACTGCTACAAGCCTGTGGCTGGCTCTAGTACTGGGGGCACATGTAAGTATGAAACCACATGGGAAGTAACTGCACTAAATTATTTGAGACACATTTAAGGGCAGAAACAAAGGGTTATGGTAGCTGAGGGAGCTCCAGCCAATTTTGGAGGTTGTGGGAGTTTGATGTCTCTTCAGGAACAGCTGCAAGCATTAAAAAAAGGCATATGAGGATTCTTTTATCTCCTCCTAGATTTCATGCTGATGAGACCAATCCTGAGAAGCACTGAGAGCTGCAACCCCTGCCACGTACCCCCAGTGCCTTGGCAACCTCAATTTTAAAAAGTAACCATAGATTTCTTCTCTCCCGGCACAGGTTCCACCATCTTAGCGGAGCGGCTGGGAATGTCGACATCGAGCTCGCCCACATCCACACCCAACTCCCCCACCGTCCTCTGCAGTGGTGTCTCTGGCCCCTTACTGTCTACGTGTGGCTCTGGCCCCCTCTGCAGCTCTATCAGTGGTAAGAATGGTGGGATCCCCTGCTGCCTTTCCTTTGCCTCCCTTCACAGTCTCACACTTGTCTCCCAGAAGGGCTCTAAAACCACAATAATCAACAGATTATTATTATCCCGTCAGCTCCCCTGGGGAGGAAGGGAGAGCCTCTGCAAGGGCTATTTTCAGTCTGTTTTATGTGGAAGCAGCTTGAATGCCTAGACAGCAATATTTCTCTCACCCTTTTCATCATGAAAGGTCTCAAGGGAAGCAGGGATTTTCTGCTGCAGGCGTGGCCCTGTGATGCAGAGCTCCTTCTGGAGAGCTGTGTGGCACTGACACGTCTCGCACTAGCTTGGACTGGAGCTAAAACTCTGCCTACACCTCCCCTTTCTCCCTCCACACACCTTCAGTAAAACGCAGTGTTGCTATTTCTAATGTGCCAATGAAGTACAGTGATATTTAGATAAATGCACATGCAGTAAAAAAGTGTAGGCTCTTCTGCAGCACTTTTAAAACTCCAGACACCTGCACGCTCCCAAGGCATTGATGGTAGGGTAGGTAACTTACCAAATCCCTGTTGCATGGGAGCAGCTGTCTCTTGGCTTGCTCTTCATGGGCAGCAGACCCCAGCAGATGTTGCCTTTCTGCTGCCTTGAGCCTTGGCATGTGACCCAGGACTCGGTGAGTAGGACAGCAGGTCACAGGAAGGAACCCTGGTCCTGGAGCATGCATTTCTGCTGGGGCATGGTTCCTCCCTCTGTGGCTGCAGGGCAGAAATCACCTTGGGATGTCAGCAAGAGGAATGACCATGTTTTTTTTGTGTTGCAGGCACAGCTCCCAACTCTCCAAGCAGCTTGCCTGAGTCACCCATCTCCCCGTCCGTCTCAGGGACCTGGGTAGATGAATGCACCATCTGCTATGAGAACATGGTGGACACAGTCATTTACTCCTGTGGACACATGTGTCTCTGCTATTCATGTGGGCTGAAGCTCAAGAAGATGGCCAGTGCCTGCTGCCCCATTTGCAGACGGGCCATCAAAGATATCATCAAAACATACCGCAGCACTTAGAGCAGCAGCAGATGCCGTGGTGGGGACTGGGCATGAGGGGAGGAGGCTGTGAAACAGCACAGGTCTTGGTCTTTATTCATCACCCAGGAGATTCAAAAGCCATCACCCACCACCACCCTGACCTCCTCTTCCATGGACAACAGATGAGACAAGCTTAGATGCTGCTCTTCTACCCCCCAAGCAAGCCCTGGGGCTGAACACCAGTGTCAGGGAAGTTGCTATGGACTACTCTCCCTTGTGGATTTTAAACTTTATCTCAAAAAATGCCAGCTGGTGCAATCATCCCTTTCTACACCATGCACAGCAGAGGGGAATCTCCACTCTTTAGCATAGACAGCAAGTGGTAAAAGGTTCAGTGCTACACATCTCCTTCCAGAGATACCCCACATGCGGAGACAGCTTAGCAGAAGAGATGAGCAGTGCGTTTCTGTGGACAACCAGCTTTACCAGAGGAGGCTCCTTAGAAAGGACAGAGCAAGGCAAGCATTGACCCAGCGAGGGAGGAGCAGTGGGCACAGTCACAGCAGAGAGGCTGGGGCCAGTGCAGAAAATAACCCAAGATTTGTGAAGCAACACCCAACCCATATCTGCAGACAGAAGAGCAGACCCATGGCAGCTCTTGGGGGCTGTCCCCAACTCCTCCGTTGCCATTCTCTGACAGAGGCTTTCATGGTGGTTTTGGCAACAAACACTGGCAACAGCTCTGCTCCCTCCCAGCAGCGTCAGCCACCTCCTGTCACCACCCTGTCACACGAGGAGTGGCTCCCAAACCCCATCACCACCGACCTGTGTGTGGTCTCCAGGCAGCACGAGGGATCCAGCAGCATTTCTTCTCCCATGGGCCTGTGGGAGAGGGAGACATAACTCCCTCACCTTTCTCCCCCTACCATCCAGACAGCATTTGTGAGGAAAAACCACAGCCTCACCGGGGAAGAATGTATAAACCCACACGTCTGTGGGTTACCTTTACTGGTAACTTTATCACTGTGCTTTAAGACAAAACCAGCCAGGTGGTACTCAGCTCTTCTCAGCCACACCGGCAGGACATGGCTGTCCTTACGTGTTAGGAAGTAAGGAATGAGAGAAAGATAACTTGAGTGGTTTGGTTTGCTTTTGTTTATTTAAACAGATCTCCTTCTCTCCTGCCTGAGTCAGGAACGTGGCTGTGCCCAGCAGGGACAGTGGTGGCCCCCTTGGTTGCCATGCAAACATCTGCTGCTCTGCCATGGCCACGGGTGTGACCCTGGGCTGCTGGCCCTTGGGTCTGGGCTGTGTGGCTTGGCAGCAGCAGGAGCTGTCTGCCTCCCTTCCCAACCCAGCCTGCTGCCTTCCTGGGCTGCAGGGGAGGGAGGGAGGGACTGTGTCTGGGTCCTGAGGGGAGGCCAGGGCTAGGGTGCCATGGCAGTGGAGTTTTCCACCACCACATCACCCACATGGCCAGACCAGGGAAGGCCATGGAGTCACACCCTTCCTGCTGAGCTTTTCCTTTTCACCTGAGCATTTGGCCAGTGATGGGATAGGGGGGAACAGTGTGGTGCAGGGATAACACTATTTAATGCACACATGCACTTGCTGCAGGGGACATCATGCCCCCCACCCCCAGCAGCAGGTGGGTTTTTACCCCCCACACTGGCAGATCCTAAAAACACCTGGAAAACACATCCTTGCTCTGTCTCTCAAGGAGACGCAAAAAGAGACTACTCACTGGGGAGCACATTGTAGAGCCTTTCCCTGAGGGTGCCACCATCACTGCAGCCTAGCCAGGGGCCTGCAGCTCCCCCCAGCCTGCCCTGCAGGCAGCACTAACTTGAATGCTGATACTCTGGGTGACAGGGATTTGTGTTCTTTCCTGGCATACCTCTGATGTACAAACCCAAACCCATGGGTTTGTACATGGGTTTGTACAAACAGCCATGTCCCAGCTGTCAAAAGCTCCAGAGCTCATGGCTCCCATTCCCAGATGCTCTCACTGAGGGGCAGGAGGAGGCTGGTTGGCACAACCTGGGGGAATCAAGGAGCATGGCTGGTCCTCAGGTACACAGCCAACTCCAACTGTGACCAGCACACACAGGGAGCTTTTTTTCAGTAGTTACACAAACTCCAGTGCAAAGATTTCAAAAAGGAGGAACCCAAGGGGTAAGAAGGTGGTGATGAGACAGTGGATGTGGGGAAACGTGCAATAAGCAGCCTCCCGAGCCTTCACCACACCAGTGGGACCAGTCCCACTCCATGCAGGGAAAGCCAAGCGGTAAATTTCATTTTTCAAGAAATTCCATCCATGGGTACCAGTGCAGTGGTGTAAATTCCTTTTTCACCTTTTGAATTGAGAGTGTTTTAATATATTAACTGTGTTTTGTTTTACTGTGGACCAAACTCTAGGAGTTAGGAGAAGCTGAAAGCTCCCCCAGCATCTGAGTTCAAAAATTGGGGTTCAGTCCTACCCCTGCATAGGCTGGCCTCCAGCTGTAAGCAGGGAAGAGAAAAAGGCTCTCTCCAGGGAGGAGAAAAAAAACCAGCAAAACCAGTAAAAATAACAAAAATCCTAATCTTTTGTTTTGTTCGACTGGTGTAGGTTCCCATGTACCTCTGTGTTGTGTCATCTGCATTTCATTGCTTTACTTTAAGATGTTTTGTGTTCTGTTTAAAGACAAGAAAAACTCATTGTGAATAATTGGATAACTGTGATCGTGAATAAAGTTGATTTAGACATCCTACAGCAGCACGGGTGGCTGAGGATTTCCCACTTCATAAAAGAAGCAAAACACAATGGCCAGCATAGTGAGAGGCTGAGGTAAAAGCAAGGGTGGCATGAGAGCCTCTCACTTAGGGGGAGCTGGATGGAGAGATATCAGGCTTTCCTTTACTTCTTGAGGCTGGGAGGGCATTGGGAGGTGGATATAAATATCACCTTGGTGGACACCACACACACATAAGGAATAAAGAAAGGCGCAGAAGTAAAAGCAAGTGCTGACATCATTCCTGAAAGCTTAGGCCCCACACTCCTGAGCCTCTTCATGCTCTCCCTAGAGAGAAGTCACAGCTTCTTTACTCCCACTGCCTTGGTTACAGTCTCTTCTGTAACCACAAAAAAGCGTCCTCCAGCAGCACAAAGAACCTGTGCTGTGAGGAAAGCCAGGACATGCTGCTCAGCCCAGGAGGGGGCAAGTAGCGCGTCTGAAGATGAGGCAGAGCAGTACCATCCCAGCCCTGACCTGAGCAACATGCTGAGAAGGCCCACTGAGCATCTGTGGTCTGGCCAAGCAAGATGCTCAGGTAAGGTGCAGATGCCTCCCGGGTATGTGGCAAAGGACACAAGGACCCAAAGGGAATTTGGATTCTCCAGAGGTCGTGCCAGTTCCCTCAAAAACCCAATCCTCTGCTGCAGGTATCTGCTCAGGGGCATACCTACAATACAACAATGTGAGATTTTTCTCCTCATCTTTTTAACTGTTCAGCAGATGAGACTATCTCGATCATATTCTTGTCGTGGGACATATTTGAGGTGGCATCTTCTCCCTCAGTGGAGGTGCTCCATCTGCCAAGGGCCAGGGACATTCCAGCAGTGGTATCCTCAGCCTCTCCAGATGAAGCCATTCTACTCTAACAGTTCCTCAGTAGCCTGAAACATTTCGTGTTAGGTAAAGTGAAACCACTTTTCCAACCCAGCTCTCTCCAGCACCAGCCTGAGGAGATCCCAGCTGTTGGGAAAAGGCAAGTCTGCACAGCTGTGTGCTCCCCTCCAAGAGCTGTTCCAGCTCCTGCTTTCCCTGGGACAGGAGGACCTCTAGTGGGTCTGGAAAGCCTCCTCATTCCCTCAGGAGCAAGCGACAGGGTTGCACAGCACAGAATGCCCTAGAACCTGGTGGCACTGACTTGCTGGACGTGCTGAGCCCAAGCACTGCCACAGATTAGGATGAGTGAAGTGCTAACGCTCTGGGCCAAACTCAGATCTCCTCCTTCCTTGGCACCTGCAGGAGGGACCATGGCACATCTGCCAGGTTTCCCCTGTGCCAGCCTCAGCCTGTGCAGCCCCTCGTGCTGCCATGTGCAACAGCCCCACTGAGCTTTGCATCCTCATCTGCTGAGCATTGCTGGAGACACCCTGCCCTGCCCTCCTCCCCACATCCAAACCAGAGCTGTAATTTTGCCACTGCTCCCCAAGAATTCTCAACCAAGACCAGCTGTGGTGCAGAACTGACCTTCCCCAGAGAGGGTACCCCTGCTTCCTGCAGGGCTGTGCCCGGGGTGCCCCGGCTGCGGCACAGCCCGCGGCGGGCGCGGAGGAGGCGGAGGAGGATGAGGGGGAGGATGCTCCGAAAGTGGTCCAGGAGCTGCAGCGCTGGTCCTGCATCGCCACCTGGTGCCCAGTGCCCGGCCCGGAGCTCAGCCGCCGCTCCTCCCGAGATGGATTTTAACAAATACTGCAAATAGACTGAAGTAGGACCAGAAAAATTCAGTCTTGAGTGCAGCACAGTTGTGGTAGTGGTTCTCCGAGAAAAATGAGCAAGAAGTGAGCAGTTAACAGTGAGTTACAGTGTGCAATGGGATGCATTAGTAAACAGTGATTGCATCAGTCCAAAAAAACCCCTTTCAAGCTGGCTGGCTCACTCACCACAAAGGGGAGAGGGGGCACAGCTTCCAGTCACACTTGGCACTACATTTATGCCTAGGACTGTGTGCTGCATCAAACTCAATTCCTGGCATCCTTCAGAGAGCTGGAACTCCTTGTGCACCATTCACCTACATGCCAGCACAGACGAACATCTACAGTCAGGCTGGGCTGAAAAGCTAAAAAACAACCTTGTTACGCCTCTGTATTACATCCCTTGTTATAATCTCCTTACCCAATATATCTCCTAATCCACTGCCTTTGGCATCCCCAAGAGATGTCCCTGCATAAGGAGAGGGGATCCATTACCAGAAACTTCAGTTTTACCCATCTGCTACTTTGCACAGCAATGACCTTCTACTTGTTGAACTATTTGGGCCTCCAACCTCAAAGACAGGTAAGAGGAGTCAGCAGTGCCAAGAACCCTTGCAGGATCAGACCTTAGTATCCCATGTTAAAGCACCATTTGCTCTGCAGACTGCACACAGGGCTCATCCCACATTGCAGAGCAACTCTAATCACAGAACCAAATGACCACTTTTGTAAAAGTATGCTTTTCTTCTTATTTTGAACCTATCCTTCTCAAAAAAACAAAAAAACCCAAAAAAACAAACATCCTTCCATGAGTACTGTAAACCTTAACAACTTGCTCAACACAGACTAAAGTTCTTCGTGTTTGAGGGCACAGGTGACTTTTTCATAAACTTTGTGGAATAGAAAAAATGCAAAAATACAACTTCAGCCAGGGAACAAGACAAGGTCCTCTATCCATTTAGCCTAAGATGAAATTTGCAATTGCATGAACACACAAATTACAAGTTATTCTGGGAAAGATAAATTCACTGGAATTCAAGTGGAATCAAAATAGTACTGAAAAAATTAGAAGAAAACCCCCAACAAAACAAACCAACTGGATCACAATTAAAAAGGTCAAAAATTTATTTTTCCTTAGGGCATAAGAGGCATTGTAAACAAAATACCAACAAACAAACAAACAAATCACAAGTCAATTCTTACAGTCTGCAAGCATTTGAAGATAGAGTACCCTTTTCCCACCTCCCCCCAAACACTGCAAGCCTGCTCAAATGGTAACAGGCAACAATCCTGGGCCTTGAAGGTCCAGGGAGTTTTTACATATCCCAAGCTGGGACTAAATTTCTCATGTAAGAAGGACACTGCATCTGTTTTATCAAACACTTAAAAAAAAAAAAAGTCCAACAAAATATAAATATTACAGACAAAGATCAGATTTAGCACCGCCTTTGGTCCAAGCAATCAATGAACTGGGAGATGACAGGTACAGTTTGTTTAGCAAGTCCTTTCTGCCTGAGTCTTTGAAAGCATTAGAGGTTCATATTGCAAGAACTTGTAATTTCTCTGAGAAAACACTTCTCAAATTCTGGCAGTCCCTCACAACCTCCCAGGGTCCTGCACACAGGGATTGGGGAGAATCCTGGCTGGGCAGCAGGATACTGATCCAGGTCAGCAAAGGTCACTCAGAGTGCTTGGCAGAGCCCTGTGGGACATGGCAAGCACCGTGCCAAGGGTCTGCTCCTGCTTTGGCCCAGCAGAGCTCTGAGCTCAGGCACAGAGCAGGAAGAGCAGTGACAGCATCCTGGATTTCCCTTTCCACTAACATTTGTTCCCCTCCACCACCTGTGTGCTGCCAGGGTGGGTGATGGCAGATGCCTGGAAGGAGCTGAAGTTGCCTCAATGCAAGTTATTTCAGCATATCTGGAACATGCAATTCAGGAGTTCTTTTATCAGTTGCAGTTTACTCCAAGGCCTTTTTAGGCTCCTCTTTTCCAATACACACATGCCCATCAGATGCATGGCTCTGAATTTTTGCAAAGAGGTGTCACTGGCCAGCACTAGTGTATGCCAGGACACAATCACAAGGACCTGTGATAATCCTAGAAGAAAAATAAAGCACCTGGCCATATTTTATATTTCTTACAACTCACTCTCCTAAGTGTCCAGAACTCAAATTGTCTCTTCCTTTCCTGCAGGAATTTTTGAGCAGTCCTGATTAACCATTATTAAATGCTGTTCAATTCCAAAATTACAAAGCTCTAACAACGCCTATAGAGAAATGCTGAGATCTACTTTTAGGCACAGTAATCTGATGTCTTTGTTCTGCATCTTCACATGTACAATTTCCAAAGACAGATGGTGTTATTCTCTGCTGAGAGACCCATGCCGAGTTTCCACCTTTACAGACAGAGACGTGATTAAAATTTCCCAAACAAGCACTTGTTTTTACTTCACTGCTTTAGAACATGCTGCTCTAGGGGAAAAATCCCCAACCTCAATTGCTTCACCTTGTTTTGCAGTTCTCTGAGCAAGCAGTTGGTCATGGCACAGAGAGGAGGGCACCCCTCTGAGTGCATTCCCTGTCCCACACAGGGCACTGCCATGAGCGCAGCTCCGGACTGGGCACTGCAGTCGAGTAAAGTCTGCAAATCTGGATTAAGGGGGAGCTTATGCTTTTCACAGCTCATTCCTCCCACCACTGTCATATCCAGAGCAAATGAAAACATTGTACTATGATGATTTCATCACCTCTTCCTGGGATAAAGCCACACTTCTGTTGTCCCAGTCACAGAAACAGGCCCCCGGTACCGTATGTATCAGCTAAATCCTCACAGGTCCCAGCTGATTTGTGCTGAAGCCTGAGGGAAATTTCTAGAGAGTCATTTGGCAAAAAGGAGATCTGTGTTTTCCTCACTGCTAATATATCTTTTGTGTTGGCCCACAGGAAAGTTGTTCATTTTGTTAACTAGTACTGTAATCTGCATCCAGGCTTTATAAATGTTTACACACCAACTCAAGGACTGGTCACAAAAAGATCTGTTTTGTGCCAGTTCAGAGAGGCTGGGGCATCTAATCCCCCATTAACAGTAACTCTTACCATCAATGGCAAAAGATGCTGTTAAGTGCAGAAAGTGTCACTTTTCTGGATTTCAGTTTTACTGGGATGACTGAGAAAGCCACATTTTTTTAAAATCATGCATATGGTTGCCTGTCCTAGGAAAACCTCTCACAGACTCAAGCACATCTGGACCCTTACAGCAGGAGCTATTCATTGTACAAACAGTTTTATCCAACTGGTCAGCATCTCAAGTTCATTAAACAAAAACTGAACAATGTTTGAAGCTACAGTTACTATTTCTGTCCCTAGCTCACATTTGTTATGGCATGCTGTGAATGTCAAGATACCTGTCACCTCTCTAAGAATTAATTCATGACCAAAAGCTTTATCATCTACAAGATTAACAATATTCACTCCACTGCCTTCAGTGGAGCTGGATCAGAGGCCACCACAAAATATGGTCCAAAGCTGTTATCACTAAAAAGGATTTCCCCAGACTCATTTTCTTCCTCTCTTAGTTTAACTTGCAACCCAAAACAAACTAAATTGTCTCCTGCCCATAAACTCTCTTAAAAAAACCCCCCAAAAAAAACAAACAATAAAAAGCTTTCAGCTAACTCCTTCTCATACTTACTGCAACAGAAACCACACCAACTTCTAGACTTTTACGAAGCAGAAGAGACGAATTGGTTCCCATATTAAAAACAAAACAAACAAAAGACAAAAAAGTGTCACCAACTTGACCACACACACACACTAAGACCAGCCACACATTTCTCTATCTCTGGTCACCGACATACTCTCCCAAGATTCCAAGCTCCACCAGGTACATTCCCACCACCTAACCACTAAAAAACGGAGCTCTACACCAACACAGAAATGACAACAGCATCTAGTTTTCAAGGTCACATGAAGAACATCAACCACCCAAGAAACCCACTGCAAAACTTCACTCAGACCAGGCCTAGATCCATTTTTTTTTTCTTTTTGGTCAACTAAAACTTTGGGACAGCAAACCCTCTAGGAGCTTCCAGTACAGACACATGCCAATGCTCTGCTAATGCAGAGGAGCACAATAGCTCAAACAAATTTCAGCCTTCCTTCAAAAACAGGTTTAGGCTCCCAGTAACTCACTACCCACAGTTTGCAGAGATAATCTGGGCTAATTAACAGCTTTGGAAACACTACAGATGTACACAGGCACCTGAGCTGCTTTCAGCACCCACCTGGAGTTACCCACATCTGAACTTCAGCCTCAGCAGCAATCAGTCAAGCTGCTGGCAGGACTTTTCCTGATATGATATTTGATACTGAGCCTTAAATGAAGAGGCTCATCTACATGATTCTCCCTAAACACTGCTAGCAGAGCAATGAGCACTGCTGACTGCAATTAAATCTGCACTGAAGGAACAGCACTGATGTCATGTGCAAGTCAGCCAGACAGCAGAAATGCACTTACTCTGTACATTACTGACCCCAACGCTCACTTCAGACCCTCAGTACAAAAAAAGTCATTGTAATGCTACACACACTTTGCTTTTGCAATATTCCAGGTTTAAACTCTTCATGAGTAATGAGCAGGACTTTTCAGCAAGCCTGTTCAGCATGACACAGAAAAATTCCTCCTAGCAACTGGAAACAGAACTTCCTCCTTCCCTGAAAGCCTAAGACAGGAAGTAGTTAAGTCAGCTATTCACTGAAATACTTCATTTTTAAAAAGGTTTATTTTTCTTTTCTTTTTTATTTGTTCCAGTTTATTAATTGCTACAGGCTAAGCTCCAGTGACTGCACTATTCTTTTCTGTCCTGCTTCAAGGGGACAGAAACAAACCGAACTAATGTGTTCTGGGGGACCCAGAGTCAGGACAGAATTCAATGTCCCTGTAGTCATCATCCAAGGGTGATGATGGGATTTTGTTTATTTATTACTACTTCCCTGGTGACCCAGAAGCAGTTCAAGAACAAGCTCTCCAACCACAAAAGAACTGTTTGCACAAAGAATGCTGCCACATTGCTTACTTTTCAGTCATCAAATACAGAGTCAATAACAGCTTTGATGGGGAATATCTGGAGAAACATGAAATATTTACCTAAATATTAAATGTTATATTCAAAAAAATTTCTTACAGTGCCAAGTGATTCTCCCTTCCACCCATTTTTCTCCTCCACCAAACAGGGACCAGGACAGGTACCACTGTAACCAAATAACCCTGAGCATCAGGGAAAGGTCACTAAAGCCAACATCCTTCCAGAAGCACTGCTAGCACTGGGTTGTTCCTGCCAACACGGACAGGTCCAGAACAGCCATGCTTGCCCAGTCCACCAGCTGAACCTCGGTACATGCAAACTCCCAGACACACAAACTGCCTCAACTACAACAAGCAGATAACCTGTGTTTATCTTCTCTTGGTGGATCGGTGGCTTCAGGACACAGATTATCATAGTACATTAGGGACTGAAAAAAATCAACTTTTGTCAATAACAAAAAATCCTGTCACAGAGCAGTGATGTATTTAAACCATCTATACAGAGAAAGTATCTGCAGTGTCAGACCAAATAATTCATGGCCTTATTAGAAACATTTTTTTCCTCATATTTGATCTATCTCTCCCCCTGCCAATATAGTTACTTCTCATTTATTTTCTAATTTCATTCCAAATGATCAACATAATTCCCATAATTTTAATTCAGTAACAAACAGGAGTCTCAACTCAGGACAGTAGTGGCTTATGCTGACAAGAACAGGTCTGTAAAACGCCAGTGTGAAGCTTTAAACCAAATTTATTTATAAAAAAACCAAACACAAAACAGAAAAAAAAAATTGCACTCTCCAACTAAAAATCAACACTACCTTGATGCAAGAACAAATGAAGAACATAGTTGATGGGACCAGCCCAGACCTGACAATATAAAATGGGGGAAACGAATTAGTTCTGACTGTGCCAGCCGTGCCCGCCCGCAGTGCGGCGCAGCTTCCGCTCCAGGAATTGCTGCGGAGTCCCGGCCCTGACGCCAGGGCACCCAAGAGAAAAGACCTCCTCGTTCCACCCTTGGCACACCCTGCAAAACTGACACCCCAAAGTAGAGTTACGGGTGACCTTTCACAGACACCTGTGCTTTGCTCCAAATTGGGTCCTAGATGGAGGAGGAAAAGCAGCAACAGCAACCTACATCCCGACCCTAAGTCAGCTGACTGGGGGCTTCTGGATCCGGCCTTATGTACAGTACTTTATTTGAAAATTACAGACACACACAACAGACACGACTACTGAGCAGCAGAGAGGGAGAGAAAGAGCAACACAAGCACTGGGCAGCGTCAGCAGAGGCCATCAAACAGTTCAAGTGTGCGGACACATTCCCCATGCATCATCGCAGTGCTGGTCCCTGCTTCTAGCAAGCAACAAAAAGCGAATGAAAACAAAATAACTTAGACAAACATAAGCTCTCAGACCATCATACTGGTACTGATGGCAGCTATCAAACACTGCACTGATACACAGCACTTCACTACGTGGCTAAATAGCATCTGAAGGTGACAGAGAAGGAGCTGCTGATGACGGAAGAGCACCAGCAAATAGCAGCAAAGCTCCAGCTGGTTTTGAAGAGCTGCAAGATTTGCAGCACAGTGGATCGTGGCAGAGCAGCACCAAAGCTAAGCAGTCCTGTGCACCCTTTGGAGGTGTAGGAGCAGAGTGCACAGAGCTTGCTTGTGCTGAGAACGGTCCATGCTGAGCACCCACAGGAGTCTTCTGTCAGTGTAACTCTACTGATGCTCGTGGGCCTCTTGCCAGTTTAGACAAGAGCATGTAAAAGAATTAAGCTGGTTCCTCAAAACCAGATTCCTAATTGGTAAAGTATTAGAGGTTTTCCAAAATCACGTGTTTGATACTATTTCAGTCCAGCTGCAGAATTCAGTTTTTCTGTTTGAATGCAAAGGTCTCTGGTAATACTAAGGCTTTTTGACAAACTTAAGAGCAGCAGGACAAAAATTAAGCAGAAAACAGAGGTACATCTCTCCAGAGTAATGAACTAGAGCCACAGGAGATGTACTTTCCAGAGCTCAGAGAGTCAAGTGCTCTGGCTTTCACATTTCTCTTGCACCTTACAAAAATAGTCCAGTTTTTCAAAGGTAGTAGATTTTGCTGCTACCTGTAAAGTCACATTATTTTTGACAGATGGAAGCTCTCCTTCCATTCAAATAGAATTTAAGACAATACATCTTTTGAAGAGCAAAGTTTCTGCCCAACTTTATTTAGGACCTGTGAGATCCACCTTTGCAAGCCAAGAAATACGAAATCAATATCCAAAACATCTGTGAAATTCTGCAGGTGAGAATTAACCCAGATAAAAGGGAGACTTTTTCTTCTTCGGTTAACAATAAGGACAGAAAAGTAAGGACCTGTAAGAACATTCCCATAGCTCTTGCAATAAATACAAGTAACAATGCAGTAGCCAAACTTGGGACTGCACCAGCAGAATTATTTTCCCTTCTGAAGTTACCACCAAATCTGAAGTGCAACAGAGGACGTAACCAGCAGAAACAAACCAGAAGACAGAATCATGCATGGATGACATACAGAGTGTTTCAAGCATAGCTCAGAAGTCCTGTATTGATTAGGATGTTAATGACATTCTACACATAATCCTGGCAACATGCTGCATAGTCCTTATACTTCCACTAACAGGTGGTACTTGTTTATGGAAAGCAGCCATTCCCAACCCAAGCCACCACAGCTGTCAGTCTCTACCTACCCAAGGGTCCTGTTTTCATCCAGTTGCCCCCTCCCCTGAATTTCCCCTTCCCTAAGAGTGCATGAATAGAGAATTGCAAACATTTCACACTGCACGTTCCACTCCAAGTCCTGGATGAGGGGCCTGTTTATTCTATGAATATTGCACTTATCCACTCATTGGATTTGCTTTTACTCAAGAATGCAGAATATTTGGGAAAAAATAGAAAAAATAGTAGGATAAAACACAGGAAAATATGAGTTATTAACAAGCTAGCTATGAAGATCTAAAATTAAATAGTACTAGTTCTATTCTGTTAATACTAGGAATATGAAAATAATGAATGCTTTATCAAATTCCCTTGTTTTTCATATAAGATAAAAGCAGTAACTTTCTTTTTAACTGAGGAAAGCAATGAATATATATTACAATAAAATATGATTCATTAAGATCTGAAAGTGATGAAAACAATTATATAATGCCTTCGTCAAACTTTATAGCATCATAATGGAAGGAGTCTTTGGGGTACACATCCACAAGGGACAAATGCATTTTTTAGCTATACCCATGCAGGTGTGAATTTCCATTTTGAAGAGTCTAGCTGCAAGACAATTCCAATCTTTCTTTATTGTGTATTTGGTACTATTGAATGCATTGATAAAAACTTCCTGTTGACACATCAGTTACGTACCCCAACATGTGCCCATCATCTCTTTTATCTTGAAAGGTGTGGCTTGCAAAGGACTAGTTCATAGGACTACACTCACCCATTGCATGGGGTGACAGCTAAAACAATGAACGGGAATTGCCTCCCATGGGGAAGGACTCCTAACAAAATGCATGACTCTTGCTTTTATGAGAAAGTGTTTTGAAAGGGGAGACAAGGGAAACCAGCAAATAAACTTTTCAGGCATTATATAAACCTCAATAACGAACTCAGAAGTGCTCATTATTATTAAAGTTGCAGTATACAGCAAGACACAATTTTCACATTCTTTAATTTTGTTCTCTGGCATTGGAGTTCGGAATTTCTGCTGGTCCAAATTCAAGACTTTTTGGAAAATACAGAGAGTGGGTGAGAGCAAAACAGCACGAGCAGCTGCCTCTCCCCCCAGAGGAGGGCCCCCTTCAGCTGCAAATGGCTTTGCTCTAGCCCTGCAGACTCTTCCTCTTAATCTGAAAGGGAAATTTAAACAGTACTACTGATTTCTGCATTGAGTGTTCACTGAGGTGTACATTATATTTAAATATTGCTCTTGATCCAGTGTCAGTTCTGACAAATTTAGTAAATAAAAGGCGACATTAACATTTTTAGAAAAGAGCTAAAATACTTCTAGCACTACACTGCCCTCTGAGTATTCTGCCAGGTTTTCCTGCCCTGCAGTCAGCTTTTTTGATGTAGCTTAAGGCATTTCCCTCTGTTTCACAGCTAAGAGTGAAGGGCTTGCTATTTCAGGTATCAGTAGAACTGACCACAACTAGCTGCTCGCTGATGGAAAAAACAATAATTTTCCTGACATCTCTCAGTTGAAAGCATCAAAAAAACAGAGAACATCTCAATGAGAGATGCTATGACAATGGTAAGATAGGAGTGGGAAAAATTGCATTGGAAGTATTTGTTTTAAAAGTGCCCTTTTAAACACAAGCAGCCAAAACAACTACCAAGTGAAGGGGAGCCCAAATGGAAGCTTTTCCACCAGGGTGGAAGCCAGCAAGCCAAGTGATGACCAACAATAATTTCTGGCACCAAGTAGGCCATCTGCACCCCATCCTTTTTGCTGGTACAGGTGAGGGCAGAGGGAGGCCACAAGTGTGGTTCTGCAGCCCACCTACAGGGTCTGGCCTCTCCTCAGGAGGGAGTGAAGCCTTGGAGATGGGATAAAGCAGCAACTGAGCCATGGAGCTGCTGCATGAGAAAACCCTGGCAGTACTGCAGGCACCCTCATGATGTGCCACCCTGCCCTGCCTGCAGCACTGCAAACCACCTCCCTGCAAAAGCCAGAGCTGGAGAAGCAAGCCAGCAAGATGGAACAGGAGCTGTGGGACAGACAGACGTCTGTCTCAGGCAGATCCTGAAGCCTCCTAACCTGAACCTCACGGAGAACTTGCCTCCACCAGGGCCAGCCTTGTGCAAGGCACATGGCAGCCAGGCACTGGAAGTGTCTGCCAAAAACACCTGTGCCAGCCCACACCCTGCAAGGACTCCTGCAGCTCAGAGGTGCCCAGGGCTGGGCTTTGCTGGATGCAAATGTGAGTGTTTCCAGTAGTCTGGGCTCTTCTGTCTCCTTGCTGCTCTTCCCTCCTTGGATAGGGGCTCATGTCAGACCATACCATACTCAGAGAATTCAGTGGCTCAATGCAGAAGATCTGGGAGCTGTGCTTTACATCCCCCCAAAGAGATGACCCAGTGGGAATGTCTTTAAACAAAACTTTAGAATATTTTAAATAATAAGTTAATTCTTAATAAATATGTGCTTCAAGAAAATGATAATTATATACTGCACCTTTAAATAATGCACTTAGTTCTCTGCATTGGCTTCCATTTTGGTTTCTTTTATTGTTAAAGTGCATTAATTCAAAATAATGAACCACTTCCGCATCATTATTGTTAAAATAAATCATAACATTAATACGAATCACTAAGTCACTACTATTAGTACTGCAATCTAGCAGATAACTCTATGTATTGCTCTATTTAATACTGTCCAGCAGAAGAATATAATACTTCTATTATAATCTCACAACAGCTCCAGCAGTCTTTTACGGCTGCTACCATATTAGTACAACTAAAAATGGGGAGAAGTATGAGAGACAGGGCCACAATGTCTCAGACACACACCCAGTGGGATGAAGCTGACTGGACATACACTTACACATCGCATGGTGAGACATTAAGGTACAAAAGGACCCCGCACTGGGACGTGAGCTGTTGTGCAGTTACACCTCCTTCTCCTGCCACCACAATTTAAAGGGATCCCAAACAAACAGCGTCCCCTCCCCACCTGCACGCAGAGAGCTGCTCAAACCACAGCACTGTTTGTAGCCTGTAGCTGTGGCACCTGGATGTTGTTTCAGCTACCAAAAGGATATCAGCCACATTAGCTGTAGGCAACTCTCTCAGTGTTATCATGGAAATTAATAAAACCCCCAAACCACGCATACACACACACACACACAGAAAGAAAAAAAAAAAAGAAAAGAAAAAAAGGAACAAAGGAAAAAAATAAAAAAGACAAGAATAACATATAAATTTCCTAATTTTTTTTTTGGCAGTGAAACATCCCCAGTAACATATGGTCTTGTTGTGCTGTTTTACTCAGCCCCTTGATCCCAGCTATTTTGAAGCCTTTATAACCTTTAACATCCAAGCCAAATCAGTATGAAACTCTGGTGGAAAAAAGGACATGTAATGCTTTGTGTAAACCAGTAGTGAAATGGTTTTCTCCCCCTCCCCCCATCTTCCCTTAGAACAGATTTACAATGCTGCCTATTATATAAAGGAATTAGATATTGAGCTTGAGTGATTAACAAGGCCATTTAAGAAAACCCCCAAGCATGACTTCCTTAAGCTCAGTAGGGATTTAGTAAATTATGTTTACTGTACAAGGCTACCTCACAACAATTCCATGTTCCTTGCCTCTTCAAATGGGTACCTCTTCCATTTCCCACACCACCCACACCGTATGCCACATTTCAAAACAAGAGTTACAAAAGGCAAACACAACTGGAACTAGAAGAGGCAGCTTCCTGGTTAGATGCATTGTAGACCAAATTATTTGATATGAAATCTCTGAGCCTGAGAAGCCCAGGTCCACTTTCCAGTACAAACATACTCTTTGGATTCAAGTGGGAACAGAAATATTTGGCTCCTACTTCAGTTTTAAGTCTTTTCTGGTAAAACCAGAAACGCACACTAAGAAAATATAGTAAACCCAGAATGCACAGAAAAGACAAAAACAAAACACAAAAGCAATTCCCCAAAAATATACAAATTATGTGCAGACTGAGTTTGATGGCTTTTTTTTTTTTTTTCCAACTCATTGTAAACACTGATGTTGCAGAAGGTTACAAATTTTTCTCACTAATATCTTGGTGGGCCCTGCCAGCAATCAGCACCCTTGGATTTGGACCAGAGGGCAAAATAAGGATTAACACATCTGACAGCTTTGTCTTCAGTGTCTTAAGGGACTTTGTTGACTTTGATAACTTTTGAGAAACCTAACTCTGGGAAGAGAATCAACCAGTGTCACCTGGCAGAAGTCAGGCACAGAACCAAAGAAGCCTACACAGTAACAGACGTGTTTAAGCAAGGGGTTTGTAGGTTTGTTTTTACAAGCACCAGTAGGCATCACTGCCCGTGAACACCTGAAATCCCAACTAAAAGAACAAGACAGAATGAAAGGAAACAAAAAGTCCCCAACCCACACCACCTAATGGCCTTTTCCGGCGAGTTAGCCGTAACAACACTGAAGTCAGAGACCAAAACTCTCCACGATGAAAAGGCTCCAACTCTGGACCTACCAAATGTTGAGTAAAAAAAAAAAAAAAAAAAAAAAAAGGTGAACCTCTCCAAAGGATTAGAGTCCCTCTGTGTTTCAGAAACTTTCATTTGCTTCTCACTTTAAGTTGTGGAAAAGCATCCAAAATTCTTGGGTATTCCACGTATTGACAAAAATGAGGAGAAAGGGAGCCAAGATTGTAAAACAGTTTGGCACAGAACTCCCCAGGTAGATGCATGTGTATTTCTCTCACAAAAGGCACACATTTGGTTTCCTATCAATAATGGGAAGGATGGGATGTCATACCCTGTTACACATACAAGATTATTAACAACTTCACAAAAAGGCATTTGACTATGCTGCATCTTCCTTATAGTTGCTTACAACATGTAAACCCCACAAACCTCTCCAGAACATGGCAGATTTGTCCTCATACAGACTCCTTTGTACAAACTGGAGCACAGGGAAACGTCTTTTTGTGTAGCAATTGTTTTTTTCCACATGTACACAGCAGGAACAGTATAAATTAGGGAGGTTAAAGATATTGCAACATTAGTTCTTTTTCTCCAAATAATTTGAGGGCACCCAGCCTTTGAATGGCTTCACACCATTCATTATCTGGCAGTACCACCAGCCATTTGGGTTCCTTTCGAGGACCTCCATGCAGACACCTTCCTGAAACCCCGCAGTCTCCTCATCCCCTTCATAGTCCGCAATGGAAACATAGATGTCCTTGAGATTGTTGTGGATGAACTGGGATTTCTCAATGGGCTTTGGCCTGACTGTGGACACAGGGATCCCATTCCTCTGTGTGGGGAGGTTAGAGGTGGTCTCAGAGCTCTCTGTGCCCAGCCGCTCCGGCTGCTTTCCCTTTGTGTCACCGGGCTGTGACCACGCGTTGCTGAAGGAGGAATTCCGACGGACGGCCCTAAGTTGATCTGTAGCTGTTAAAGACTCATTTCTGCGCAAGGAGCATGACAGGTTGTTGTCCTTTGGTGGTGGAGACACAAACACTGACTGTGGACGGACAGCAAGTTGCCTCACACCATTCCTCATTTTAACTGGCCCTGATGCTTTGGAAAAGCCACCAGGAGGTTTGCTTGGGATGGGTGGTGTTGCACGTTTGCTCTGGTTGATGGTGTTCAAAGCCTGAACCCTCTTCTCTATCTTCTCTAAACTGTTTGACTTGTTTTCATTTTTCCTGTTCCTGGCAAAAGAGGAATCAGTCTCTTCTGATGTAGTTTCTCTCTGGTTATCAGGGAGAGCCAAATAATGGGAAGGAGCCCAGCCTTCCATGTCTCCATACTTCAGGTACCACCATCCACTGGCTTGCTTTTCCAGCACTTCCACTTCTACTCCTGCAGGGAAGCAAATTTCAGAATCCTGTACCTTTTGGTAGGAGTCAGTGGTCACATAGAAACATCTGGAGTCATTTTCTTGCTCAGTTTTGGCAGTATGGCTGGAGCAGAAGACGCCACGGGAAGGAGCTGTGATGAGATCAGCCGAGCTTCTCCGAACAGGGTCATCCTGGTTCTCAGAAGCTGTGCGGGGAGGGCTCGCAGACTCTTCACTTCTTGAACCTTTGAGTCCACCTCTGAGCTGCCCAGTTGGCCTCAACTGACGCCTTAAAGTGCTAATATCCATCTTTTCTTGGCTCTGAGAGTCTGCCTTGTTCAGGAAGGGCTTGGGCCTAACGATTGGCTTTGCTCTGATGGAAGGACTCTGCCCGGGATCTTTCTTCATGCCTGTTCTTGGCACGCTACGTAAGCCGACATCTGAAGCTGATCTTGGTTTTGTCTCCTCACTCCTGGAATAGTGACATTTTCCAAGATCAGGCTGAATGTTTTTGTCTGTCTTGAGCTTCATGAGTGATGATTTCGGAGAGCTGGAACATGGAGAATTCCTTCGGATCAGGGACAGAGAGGAGCTTTTCTGAGAATCAGAATCCCCACTAGATTCCTTATTGGACAAAGCATCTTCCACATAACGTCTGAACCCCTCGTTCTCATAGATGGTTTCTTCTTCATGAGCAGCTTCTTCTGAAGACTCTCCTACTTTGAACTTAGCTTTCTGAAGTGATGACACAGGTGAGGGCTTGAGGGGCTGAAACAGTCGTTTTTCAGGAGTGCCCTCTTCATGGTGACTTTCACTCACTTCACACTCCAAGTCAAAGCCAAAGGCAGGTACATCATACTCAGGTTCTTCGTATTTCAGCTTGTGGGGAGAGTCCTGGGTATCTCCTGAAGAAACTGCTCCAGGAGTTGTTCCTTCTTCCGAGTCTTTTGGTTTACTGGGAGGTGCTGGGGGAGGAACCTTTGGGCGGGTTAAAGTACTGGTTCTTCTGTTCAAATTCGGTTTCTTTCTTTTGTCAATGTAAGATGCTGGAGCCCATCCTTCCTTCTCTCCAATCTGCACATACCACCAGCCACCAGAATTCTTTTCGATAACCTAAGAGGTAACAAGGAACATGTTACTTGGACAAAAAATCTCAACTCTCTGCTTCCCACTCCTCCCCTTCCAATCCACTCCCATGCAAGAGATAAATACCACAATTTTTCCAAATACACTGTTAAGGCTCACCTCTGCTTTTTGTCCTCCACGAAAGCTTATGCCATCAGAGATGCATGACTGGAATTCAGCAATGGTGTAATATTCCACTTCCACGGAGGGTGGCTCTGGTGGCTTGGGTAACTGAAAACCCTACGGCAAATAGGATGCTTTGTTCATTTAAACCAAAGATACAGTCAGCTAAACAGCAGTATGAAAAAAAAATTGCTTTTATTCATTAAGACTCTTCCTTCTTCCTGTGCTACTTCCTAATGCTAACTGCACAGTTCTCCTGAGCTGGAGCTGGTGTATTGATATGGGCTAAAAGAGAAAAGCCTTTCAACATATGCACTGTTCATGCCACTGTCACCTACTATTAAAAATGTAATAATCTTTACCTGAATAGTAAATTGTTGTACTTGTGGGTGATGAAGTGTGAGCTGCCACTGCAGTCACACTGAGAGCAGCCCATTTACGCTCAGATTTTGTCCAGAAAGATTCAGCTCTGGATGACATGCCACAACTGCAGAAAATTGCATTGCAACAGACCCCTAACAGATTCTGTCTGTCATTAAATACACTATCTTAAAATGTAATCCCAACGAATTATTGCTCTGTATCTGCTGCTGGAGTTTTTAAACAATCTGAATTAGTGGGTGATGTGAGCTAATGGGCATCTCTTGCAGCAAGAAACAAGGATAATATCACAGACACCCTAGCTTAGCCCAGCTAAAGTGCTAGAAGGGAAGGACTTTACTGCTTGATCAAAACAATTCCAGTTCTTCCCCATAACAGACCCAGAACCTCTAATCAGTCCCAACACAACCTTTGTAAAGGCTCTATGAGAAGTGGGACACTGCTACTTACAGCCATTCTGGCAGCATGGCAGACTCCTCTAAAAGCTAAGCCTTTACATTAAGCTGCCACATTTTAGAATTTGCTACAATTATTTTTAAGGTGATAAATGGGAAAAGGGTCCTTTCAGGAATTTCAATATTGAAAGCTTTTCAGATGAGCACAGTGCTCATCTGCAGGGCAGCTAGGTGAAGCTGCACAGCTTCTACACTTCACTCCTTAGGGTTCTGTGAAAGAACCACAGGTCAGAGCATCCACAGACAAACACAGGACAGACAAAGACACAAAATGATCCTGAGCAATCAATGGGAGAAGGGCAAATCACATACTGTGCTTTATTCTCCTGCTCCTCTATTTCCATGATACCCTTTCTGTAAGTAACAGCTCATGTTTCATCACACACAGCATGTGGCATTTCACAGAGAATGCATCTCTGCACCTTAGGAACCGTGTCTAACAATGTTATAATTGGATGTTTCTGCACTATAAATGCTGAAATACAGCAGAAGCACACCATAATAAAATGCCTTCAGATAATAGGATGGTTTGGATTAAAAGAAGATAATTGAAAACAGCAGATATGCTCAGTGTTTCAATATAATATCACTGTTATTTTTTAGCATGGGATTAAGCGTCATAGTCTTGCCAAAACAAAGTCTAATTGAAAATAATGCAAAGAAAAATAGGAAGAAAATGCTAATATGCTGTTCATGTAGTTTGTTAAGAAGCATCTCTGGTGACAGAAAAATAACAAGTCGCATACGGCTCATAAAGGGTACAGCAAAGATTAAACACTATGTATTGCCCAGATAAACAAGCTATTAGCATGACTTTTTGTATAAATACACTACTGACTAGTTCCTATTGAAGATGACAGTTCTAACCTCAAATGAGTACAAACTTCCAGGATCCTAGCTTTGGGGATAAGAAATCATAGTGGGTCTCGTTCCTGTAGCACACATCCTTCCACAGGATTCTGAGCCACTTTAAACATGCACAAGAGTGAAGCTTAGCCACCTCAAAGGGGGCAGCAGTGGAAGGAGGGGACACATTTCCAGCTGCTTAAGACAAGAGAAGGTCAGAAATTGCAGTCTGGGCTAAAGACACCCGGAAGACATTTAAACCTTCTTAGTCAGCCAAACAAGTTTTAATGCTCATGCACAGAACACAGCAGCTTTATGCTATTCTCCCTTCAAACCTGATTACTTGGGGCAACATTTTGAATAAAAGAAAATGTGATTTATCACTAGGATGCCCTGAGGTCTGCTCAACACTTACACAATGAAATGAACAGGCATGCAAATAAAGGATCCCTCCCACCTTGTACAGCTGCACAAAGTCTCACAAAGCACCCAGACACCTACCCACTGCTAAGATAAACCATAAACCAATACACACCAGACTGGACTCTCTTCGTGGGGGTGGTCTTGTTCTTAGATTTGGAGAACCTGAGCAGGAAAGGGAACAGGGAGAGTTTATTTAACTTTGCAAGTACTGCTAAACACATTTTTCAGCAGCTCTCTGCTGTTACACAGTTTGAGAATAGAAGTCAGTATTTGCAATATTTAAGGCTATGAAACAAGATAGGAAACTATGGGGGTATATTAGAAATACCAAGGTAGCTTAGCTATTCATCTCTGCTAAGCCAGCAATTTTAAGAGGAAATCACTGCCAGAAAGCAGTGGATTGTATTTTCTGCTGGAACTGACCAGCTCCATTGGAGACTGGCCAACAAAGGACTGACTAATACCTATTTTTCCCCCAGCAGTAGAAGTAATTCACTAAACACTCACACTGTCCTCTCTCCTAGTATTTTGCCATTCCTTGCACAGAATAGCATCAGTGCCTGCATTTTGCAGATAAAGCAGTAAAAACATTATAGCAACTCGCCCCCAGGAAAACAGCAGAACAAATGCAAGAGATGACACAGGTGGTCTCCTCAACTTGAACATGCTATCACATCATCTATATTTTTGGGGTAGGAAGGCATATTTTAGAGTGTTCAAAAGGGGAAAAAAGTATTCTCTAGAAAAATTAACAAAGTAAATACGTGCAGGCTAAGATAAAGAACCACCAGCCAGCCCATATATAAACTGAAGTTCAATTTTAGTGAAGGGCCACATTCTGTAGTCCCTCTTGTAACATCTACAGGCTATGCAAAGGTCTGTTTGTGTGGACTTGGCTGTAAGGCCAGGACATGTGGGACCTTAGCTGACAGGCAATGCCACCCTGAAAGGTAGAGAACAAGAATTCATGTTGCAAGCTAGAAAACCTAGACTACTTTACTGCCTTACTTATTTGAGCTCTTTGTGGTGCTATCCTTGCTATGGCTGGGGATCCCTGGGCCAGTTTGGAAGCCTGCTTGTCTGGAGTCATCATGGCATTGCCATTAGAGTCATTGCACAGGATGGGCAAACTGATTTCCTTCTTGGTGATGTGAGTTTCTGCAGACTCGTTTTCTACTTGAGCTTCCTTATCAGTAGATGATTTCTTGTTCAGCAGGTTACTGATCTCCATGATGTTTCCTATGATTTCCACTGGCCCAGTTAAGTTCTTTTTCCTAGACGGAAGATCATCTTTAGCCTTCTTCAGATATGAAGCTGGGGCCCAGCCTTCTTTGCCCAGATACCTGGAGAGGCAAAAGGAAACACCACCACATCAAGCACAGCTTTCTCATGCACTTCAGGTAGAACAGCAAAAGCGATGCATGAAAACATCAAACAAATTTTGCAGTTCTCAGACAAGATTTTGTACTTTCTACTCATGTATTATCTATTGATTAGATATATCAAAGTCAGTTGAGCCAGCAGTGAACTGTGCAGATGGAAGCCACTAATCACCCTAAGGAAGGAGCCTTTCTGGAAAAGAAATAGTTACACACACGGTAAAGAGCTTCACCAGTTTGTTTTATGCCTCCCCTAGACAGCACTAGGCAAACTTAGTGTTTTCCCACACAGCAAAAAAGAAAACTAGTAAGTAAAATATTTTTATAGTTTTTAAACTTCCTAGTGGCAACTCAAATTGCAAATGAGCTAAAATAAGGGTGTACAGCACCTTGTACAGAGAACCTGCACCTGCAGTTTAAGATCCTTGTGCAAGCCTGCCTCCCTGAAACTATAAAAAACACTGGCCCTCCTTCCACAATTCCCAGCTCTGCATGAGCAGCTTTCTGCCATGGAGCATGTGGGACCCTTAAACTACTGCCACTTCTTCTAGCACTGCAAGATCAAGAAACAATTTGTCTGAGGAAAAATGGCTTTGATGGAGACTCATTTTCCTGAACCAGCTAGAGGCAATTTGAAGAAATAAACTGGGAAATGTGAACAGACACCTGAATCCAGTATGTGTTCCTGAAAGACCACCCTGAGCTGATCATGCTACACTTCAAACTGAGGTAATTCTTCTGCAAGTGCGCTTTAGGGAAGATTTTTTTTTCTGACTCCTGCCATTCCTAACACTTCAGCACGGATTTCAGATTACAATCAGACTCCAGGGAGGACCATGTGGATCAACTCTGCTTTCCCTAATGAAACCCTAACTTGCTACAGTGAGAGTCACTGAAAACCTCCTCTCTAATCTCTCAAGATACCCAAAAACAGGCGCTTGAACTGTAAGTGAGAAAGCAGGCATCATTAAAATCCTGGTGCTCAGGAAATCTGCAGGAAATACAAAGATTAAAACAGTAGGACTCTAAGGTTCTTTATTGAAAAGGGAGCCTCATTAGACAGCGGAGGAAAGAGCTGGGGCACATGGGATATGAGCAAATAATTTCCTGGCAGGTGAGCATCTCTGTCATGACAACACTTAGTTTCTGAGGTTTCCAATGAGATTGCTGCATCAAATCTCATCCTGGTCTTCCTCACAACATCCACACCCTTGAGAGTGGCTCTGGGACTTCACAAGGAGAACAGGAAAATGCAGTGTAGATTTGAATCTCTAGACTTCTTTATTACTCTTCCTGTATACAAGCAAATACAATTCTAGCAATGACTACAAGGATCTTTCTGTCTGAAATCCTGCCTTTTCCTCCTCACCCACCAAGACCAAGCAAGATACTAGAGATTCTGATTCTCCCTACAATACTTGCTTTCTGTCACACATGAAGGTAAAGATGCAGGATCTCTCCTGCTCAGTGAGTTTAGTGACAAGTTTTTCCAATTATTCTGATGTCAAAGGAAAGCATCCCAAGAGCTATGAACTTTGTGTGATGCATGGAGACTAACAAGATGTAGCAACCTGGTACTAACTTGATTTGACTTCAAAAATATACACAGCATCCACTGCGTGATGCTATGTCAAGAAGCAATTTGGATCTATTCAATCCTGTCCTTTTTGAGGCTTTTCTGCTAGGCCTCAAACCAAGCCAAAAAAGGAAAAGGAAATAAGGAAATGCCACAATTCCTGTTGTGTCAAGGCATCACCCAGTGCCATTTTCCAGACCTGAAAACTTTTGGTTTCATTCCCTTTTGCAGCTGACAGCCCTTTTGCAGAGCTGCTGACCAACGCTCTCTGCTGCCTTTGCATCAAGGAAGTTTTTTTAAATGACATTTTTCAGTTATACCATGTGGAGGATGTCATCTATGAGAAAGCCACAGTGGCCAATGCACTGAGCACTCCCTTTCCAAAGGTTACTTTCAACAGAGCTTGATTGTGCAAAATCACCAAGAAAAACCAGTTTACACCCATCTTAGTTTGTGGGAGACTTAACATGTTTAAGATGAGAAAGGCAGCCACAGGCAGGTTCTGCACTGGCCTGTTAGTTCTCCTGCCATCTGTATTTAGTTGGACCAGCCTGGGTAACCCCACTGCTCCAAACACCTCTGATCTCACAGAGAATAACAGCAGCAACAGATGGACAGTAAATAACTGTGGGCAACACACCCTCAGCAGAGAGGCTGTTGTAGGCTACTTCTTCCTGTGTCACCAATTCAACCTGAAGTTAATGCTGAGCAGTAGTTACCAGAAACTACCGGTTTATTTCTGCAATACCACAAATAAAAACTACTTATGTAAATGAAATATGCTTACATTTTTTACCTTGGTCCTTGAATTTGTTAATCTTTAAGCCCTTTGAAGAATAACCTTGGAAGATTCCTTAATCTTCCCCTTTCTACAGGAGAAAGAACTAAAACAACTGTTAATCAATTTCGGCAAAGTCCTGACCCAGTAATAATTTTAATTTCACATCTTCAGAGTTGACCGACAAGTATCCTTCCTTCCTTTATATTCAGAACCTACTGCAGACACTTGAAACCCCATCCTAGACTTCTCCTCATTTCAGCGCTGCCAGCACCTCCCAACTTTGCTTCATTCTCATGGGCTGAGGCTCAGACTAGCCACTAAATGAAGGACATGGAGGCAAATAAAAAAAGCTTTACACAGCATATTGGTACCAACTTGCCCTGCAGTCAGTCCACTTGGGCACCACAAGATTGTATCTGTTGCTGCCACCTGGAGACAAAGTAAGATTTAAACAAGGGATGCTGATGCCAGCTATGGGCACACTGGGAAGCACAGATCTACTGAACTCAATACAGCTGTAAGCAGGATCCCAGGATAGGAGCCTTTCTTTCATTTCTCCCTAGTCCTGATTTCTTTTTAAAGTCATAATGCATGTGGGGCAGCATAAAGACAGACACCAATATTGCCTCTAGCTTGTACAGCACTGAATTGGGGGGGCTCTTAGAATTAGGTGCAGTGATTTGGTTCCTTTATGCTTCCAAAACCCTCCCTGTTTATATTACATGAAGGAAAAAATGGATTGAAACCATAGGAATGTTAAAAAAAGTCAGAAGTGCCTCTGTAAGTCTGAGAGTCACATCTGCTTTCCAGCTCCAGAGCACTGGAATTACTCCAGAGGGAAACAAACTAGGGAAATAAAAAAAAAAAAAAAAAAAGAAAAAAAAAGAAAAAAAAAAAAAAAAAAAGAAAAAAAAAGAAAAAAAAAAAAAAAAAAAGAAAAAAAAAAAAAAAGAAATAAAAGAAAAAGAAGGACAGGAAATGAGGATCAGCACATGGCCAAGAATTTGGAGAAATTACATATTTAAGGTGGAACAAGCTAATGTCTTTAAGGTGGATTTCATTTACAAACTACTGGATTTGTTTTTCTCTCTACACACTGAAGTGTGTGTTCAGTCTGTTATCCAGCCCAGGGTTCAACTGCATTCTCCTCCTGCTCCCTCTCCCCTCACACTCACAAGAGAAGGAGGAGTTGCTCCTTCAAAGGCACTCAATACTCAGAGAAGCAAATTTCTGCAGGAAGGGAATCCTTTTCTGAGGGGTTCAAAAGAGAATTCAGGGCAGCCTACATGTAACAAACAGCACAACAAGCTGGAGATCAGCTACCCAGGCTGCAAAGGACCAGCCTGCAGGGATGGATCACATCATCAGCATTTCTGGAAGTGTTGCTCATGGGAAAAAAACCCTGTTTCTAAGAGTTTAATCCTCCAGGAGGAAAGTAGCACAGTGCAGTGGAGAGGAGCACAGCTGGCACCCCATATACTTGTCACATACACAGGGAGCACAAAACATGTTCCAGCAAGAGGAGGGGTTTCTTAAATGAAAATGCCAAGCACATGCTGCAATCCCCAACCACCACAGGGTGGCTGGGGCATCCACTGTCCTTCCAGCAGATTGCCATGAATGGAGATGCCATGGAAACCACTGCAGCAAGTGCCATCATGCTCCAGAATGCACTCCTGGCATACAAAAAAATGTGTCTTTTGGGTTGACTCAAAGAGGTGTGTGAGAAAAAGGGGAAAAAAAATCCAACTAATTGTAGGAGTACTAATATGGCAAAGGGAAACCTACAGTAGTAACCAGGCTACATTGCAGAAATAAAATAAAAAAATAAACTTGCAATGGTTCTCCCCTCAGAAAAACCTACATTGTTGACTCCCCAATCCAAAACTTTGGATTCCATTTCTGTAGGCAATTAACAGAGAAAAAAATGTGACCTGACCAAACCCAGGCATTTTTGAGCTCCTCCTATCTAGAGTGCCTTCCTGGCTCCACTGCTATCTTTATTAGCTTATTTGCTCCATGGGATCACTAGACAGAAGAGTGAGGTTTTTTTTCTTCTAAGTAAGGGAAATCAAGAAAAACAACAACAGTGCTTCAGTCAGCATTTTCACAGTCCTTATCCATAGCCAATAAATCAAGCAGCATTCAAACAAAAGCAAGCTATAACTTGGGGAGGGAGAGAGGAAAAAATCACTATAATTATATGTTGAATGGAAAAAGATGACTATATGAGATGTTCTGCACTGCTGAGGGATAAACCTCCATTTTAAACTACTTGTTGTATCACATCTTGTTTGAAGAGGAATTGGATGTCACAGCACTGAGAGGTTCCCACACAGATACAAGACAAGGGGCAGAACCACAGAAGAGCACTAAAACCTAAATGCTGTGTGAACCTAGATGAAGAAAACTCTCATCAAGTGCTCATCCTGACACCCTACATCACTGAGACAATATCTAACCTACAGTCTCCCCATAAGCATTTACAAAGGAGATTCTTAAGTCAAAACTCTCTGCTAAGACTGCTGTTCCAAATACATAACAAAATGTGATATACAATAACGACTTTTACCTGCCCTTGGAATGCAGTCCCTCTACATTAGGAATATCCAATGTAGACAGACAAAAATCAAAGCAAACTAGCTGAAACCATGGGTAAGCTTGCACAAGGGCTATAGCCAGCAAACTGATCTTGTGTCCCTAAAAGTAGCACTACCTGCCCCAAACAGCTCAAGAGATCACAACGACCCTTTCAGCATTGCTATAAATAGATTTAAATAGGTTGCAGAATAACTCTTATACTAGAAATACATTAAAATTATATACAACAGAAAGCCTTGCTACATCTCACAGATCTTAACTCAGATACTGGCTTTTAACTTGAAGCAAGTAAAAACCCTCTAAAACTGCAAGTTAAGGCATTTCCTCACTGGAATGGTCCACAGCCTTTGCAGGCACTGTAGTGTTACTTTAGTCACCATTCTATTGCCTCAGACTTTTCTTTACATTTCTTCAAGAGGCATTATGAACAATTTGGGCTTCCCTGTCCAGCTACAGAATGATTTAAATGCTAACATTCAGTGAACGATCAGAAAAGCTCACTGTCACAGTTTCTGCAGGTTGCACAGTCTCTTTACCTGATGTACCACCATCCTTCCAGGTTCTTCTGGATGACCTCCACGGTGACCCCTTTTTCGAACCCGATCTCATCCTTCCCCTGGCTGGCGTATGGCTGGATAGTGACATATTTCTCTTCTGGTGAGGGGAGAAAAGGCAACATCAGTTAGGGTCAGGATCAGTCCAGCTGGTTTTCTGCACTGCTTGCTTTTAAACTGTTATGCAGCGATTACGTGAAGCCATTACAGAGGCGGAGCCCTGCTCAGGGGCCCACTGGTTATTTACGCTGACGACATGACAGATAATCAGCCCCTTGCCACTACCCTGCTGCTGATAATCACAAAATGTTTCCATGCCAATAATGACACAAAGTCCCCAGAGAACTCCCCCCTCTTCTTCCCTCCTCCCTCCCAGTTCCTCGAGCGGGTAAGGGAGAGGATTTGAAGCTGGACTTAACTCCCATACTGTAACTTGACAGAATCAATCCTGCTGCCAAATCAGCCGAGCATCACGGCGGGAGCTGCAGCCAGTTGGCTCTTTGCACACACACATGGCTGCACGAAGCATTGTGTTACTGAAACCCGAGCACTGCATCCCCAGAGGGACACATCTCCCCAGCCCAGAGGGGCTGGCCCAGCACGCTGCTCTCCTTGCACCTCCCAAGCAGCATAGGTCTACAGCAACGAGCTTGAAACATTGAAAAAAAAAAAGTGACAGAAGAACAAAAGTGGTTTGCCTATGACAGGAGGCAATACAGCATTTGCATTCATAGGTTGTGAAGTGTTTCACAAACATACTTTTGCTAAAACTGACTCCAGAGAAATGCACGTGTGACACTGGTGAAGGAGGGAGGGCCAGAACTAAGACACACACTTCAAAAGCACAGACTGGATTTCAAGTACAGTGTTGGAGCCAAAAGCTTAGCATCCCTATTCATCTCCAGCATCTATCCCCTTCCCAGCTGGGCAGAGGTTTTAAGCAGACTTGCTGAGAGCAAGCCAATAAGCAGAGCAGAACAGACACTTGTCAACATCTTCTTCCACCTACCCAGGAGTCATTTACTGCAGCATTCCCATTATGCTCAAGGTCAACCTTTCTCTCTGGAGCTTAAAAAATTACACCTGCCATTGAAAACTTGAACTACCATCCTTCCTCTGCAGCAACAGACATGGAAAGTGTCACAAAACCCCTCTCCTCAACCCAAACTATGGAGCATGTGACAGCATGAGTTTCTGTAGCTAGATTAAAGGCAGGGAAGGCAAGCAATTAAGTGCACCCCAGCCAGCCTTCCTAGCACTTCCTACCAGCAGACACAACAAGGCAGGGAAGAATAAATGGAGGGCTGTCAGTGCAGAGGAATGGGCAGGAAGTAAAGTGAATCCAAAGTCCTGATCACTGCAGACCAAAGGAGCTATGAAAAGGCTGCAGCAGCTTGAAGCGAGCTCTCTTTAAGAGAGTAAAACAGATCCAAGCAGCTGTTTGGTTTTGTGGCTCAACTGCATTTTGTTGCTGGGTGAAGCATGGAAACTTTAATGAAAAATAAACCAAAACTTTGCTGAGACAAAGTAAGAAATAATACCTCAGAAAAGGGCAAATAATGTTGACAGAGCATATGGTGGCAGCGAATTCAGCAAAGCCACATCTCTGAAGTCAAGTTCCTTGACTGGTCACATTTGGATGCTCTTTGCTGAGACAAAGTAAGAAATAACACCTCAGAAAAGTGCAAATAATGTTGACAGAGCATATGATAGCAAAGCCACATCTCTGAAGTCAAGTTCCGTGACTGGTCATGTTTGGATGCTTCTAACTGATGGGGCAAAATCTGTCAAAACCTTTGCTACCAAGAGGAAAAGACTCTCTGCTGCTCTCCCCTAGGAGGGCAGCTTAACTGGCTTACCACTGGTAAGAAATTCCAGCTAGTTTGTAATTAGCACCATCAGCTCATGGCACCTTCCCCACAGAAATACTCCACTACAAGATGGGGCCTGAAAAATGAAACCTGGCAAATGAAATCCCAGCTTCCAAGTCACAGGACAGGAGACATTTCCTAGCTAGGTTTCTGCTCTGGGTGGTAGAACTGAACTAATTTTTCCTCTATTTTCAAGTCTGTTGCAGAAGGAGCTCCATATCTGGTTTCCACTGCATGCAAAGCACTAAACTGAACTGCAGAAGACCCCTGGGCAGCTACATCTTGTCCCTGCAAGGGCCAAGGGAAAGTTCAGAGCTGCTCTGTCCAGACACACATTGTTTCAGACACTTCCAGGGATGTTTCTAGGACAGTAATACTGAGCTAAGCATATATTTGCTGAGTCTTGGAAGAAGGCCCTCTTTTTTCTTTCCCCCACAACAAAGCTGCTTTATAACCCAGGCTGTCAGAGGTCGCCCTTGCCACTACAAATCCCACAGAAATTGCTGTGTTTATTCTATTTTTCCTCCACACAAACACCAGGCTCTGCTTCAGCTAAAGCCAGCTATTCGGCTCCTCTTGCTGGGCAGAGTGGTCTCACTCCTCAGGGATGTGGCTTCGCTTCTTCTGCAGATAACCATGCACAGGGTGCTCATTCCTAGCTTCCTACACAACTTTCCAAACTTGTGTGTGAGGAACTGAGACAGTGGTCACCCATCAAAACCAACAGCACTGGAGGCTGATCACTCAGAAGAAACAGTAAGGCTCTTCTGAACTGCCACTGTCTCATTCTGTCCATGAGCACCTTCACTGCTTACATCTTCAGTCAACTCAAGACTACTGCTTTTTGAGAATTAAGCCCTTTAGGTGACTCCTCCCTATACAGGAGAAATAAAACAAAATGAATGCATGGAAATAAGGAGGGAAGAGAGAGAAAAAGGATCTCCCATGAAGCAAGACAATTAAAAGTGCTAAAAATCAACTCTAGAAAAGAAGGTCCCACAATGTTTTTGTTTAGCAGCTCTATTTTTAAGCCTACAGATAAAAGCCAGGAAGCCACCATTACAATTTCCCCTTCCAAAGTACTTTGACAGCAAAAATTACATTTTCAAGATTACACACATTTGGTTTCTGTCAATGTTGAAGGAGATACCACAAACATACATGAGGTTTGTAACTTAAACAAACTGGAGATATGGGCCTCCTTGTAATCAAAGTGTAAATTCTGTTTTGTTTCTCAAAGATTATCTCTAGCCAGTGGACATTTTGTATAAACCAAGATTTGCTGAAGGGAGCAAGGGAACTCTCAGTGGATGTGTCACTGAAGAGGATTGATAATAGCATTCAACATATCAGATTATTATTCAAAAGTCTTTAAGAAAAGATATTTGACACTTCATGACTGATATGTAAAGTTACTGTAAAGACTTAACATAGATAAATGGTTTCATGAGAGAATCAGCAGAGCGTCAGACAGCAGAATGACACTGCTCTGAGTTACACTGACAAATCTGATCTATCATGCTGCCTTCATTCAGCTTCTGTGACAGGCAAGAGTATAAAACAGAAGTCAGTGAACCATCTCAGACCTACCATTGAATTTATATGCCCAGATCTACAGAGAATACAAAAGCATATAATTTTGGTTCATTAAGTTTTGACTTAAGCATTACCAGGGGAAAAAAAAAAAAGACAAACAAAAGGATAATTCGTATAGTTTTGACTTAAGCATTACCAGAGGAAAAAAAAAAAAAAAAAGACAAACAAAAGGATAATTCGTATACCCCAGCTGCAGCTTCTGTTACATCAACCTCAGTGTTGAGGTCAAGTGGGCAGAATAAACTTTACTACATGCTACAAAGCACACACACCAGCTAAAAGGCTGCATTCAGAAACAATGGGATCAAAGTCCAACGCCCTTTGAGCTAAAAATGGCAAGAAGGCAGCTCTGTTCTTAGTGAGTGACATCCAGAGATCTATTAATTGCCAACTTCACTCCCATTCCTTTATTTGCAGGCCAAAGACACCTTGCCCAGCTGAGCTGAAGGAGGTTCCTCTCTGGATTTTGAGCTGCCCCAGTAAATCCAAACAAGGCAGGCGTGAAGAGGTAAAGCCCATTTGGCAAACAGCTACAATACCCATCTACCACATTAAGCATTATCCAACTGCAACCTACTAAGGTCGGATGGAAAGGATTACCATGTGTCATTCCCTCTCCTCCCCACACACAGACACTATTTAAAATACACACAACCAGAATTTTTGCACTATTTCAACCACTCAGCTCATACCTTGCTGCTGTATTTGTGCTCTGCCCAGCCCTCCCAGACACTGTGGCAACCAGTGCTCAGTCCACTACCTATTCCAAAGCCTCAATTCCCTACCAGCTTATCTTTCTCCTCTTTCCTTTCCTCCTTCCCAAAAGAAGGCAGGCCTTTATTTTGCTCTGGTTCTACCTAAAATCTCCTGAACAAATACAGTAGAGAACTGGGACCAAAATATAGGGACAGATCTTGGTGGATCACTGGGAAAACAGCACGGACAGCAGAGAACAGTACCTGTGTCCTTGGAACAGCCCACAGTACTACAGAGGGGGCTTTTTCTAGCAACAAAGACTTTCCCTCAGAAAATGCAGCACAGGTAGGACTGTCCAGCTGGAAGGTGTGCACATATGCAGGACAAAGGATCTGAGCTGTACAGTGCCCTGCATGACAGCCACACACACTACATGGTCAATACAGATGTACACAACAGACCTGGTACAAGGAAATCACCGGTGTTTGAGTGTTATGGATCACTTTTTCACAAGCTGCTAATATTTAATGTCCTTCTGTAACCACTAGAAGAGGACAAAAGGAGCAAAAAGGAAAGAAAACAAAAAAACCCACCAAAACAAGAACACAACCATTTCGTGTTCCTCCAGCAACACCACAGTGTTTTGCCAAGCTGAGGCCTCTTCTATACCTAAACAGCAATAGCTCTAAAACCAAAAAGGCACTTTAAAACCAGTTTTGAATACAGAGCAGAGTCAAGACAACCCACACAAAACTTGATCTAAAACCTGGCTAGGACAGTTTAAGCACACCCATGTTTCTTGCCCCACCCATTTTAAGAGGAAGCTTAATGAAGTGCAACTTTTCACATAAAAAGAATTTATAATACAGCCATTAAACCATCATATGATTTACAGCAGAGCAAGATGACCTGCAGCCACCTTGGCAATGCTCATCAT